CATTTCGAAAGAATGCAGACCCTGGACGAGATTCGCAGCCTCATTCAGATACAGTTGGGGCGCAACCCTCAAGGCACAGGGCCTACGTCTAGGTCCGCGCCCTACTGGGCCTTCCGGAAGCAACCGGACGAGGCCCAGCAGGCCAGCAGTCTGGCATATAGGAACGAGGCAGGGCCTGGCGAAGGTATTCGGGCAGTATGCAAGTGCGGCAGCGCTGCTGGATGACGCGCTGGCTGGCAGAGTGCTGCGCTGCGCTAGTAAGCCCCGGGCAAGCACGTGCGGTAGTGCATAGAGGGCGCTGCTTCAGGCAGCGCCATAGCTAGCCTCCATAGCGGGCTGGCTTGGATGAGAGTGGGCGCATGGGGTTGGTCTTGGTKTATGGGCACGGGACTGAAGTAGAGAGTGGAAGAGGGATTAGGAGAGAGAAGGGTGATGATGATGATGTTGGAGTACGTACCTGGTATTGGTGGTGGTGATCATCTTCAAGTACTGTGGGCGCTGCTGACGTCAACGAGTTGCATCGCATGTGTAGTATAGGAGCAGTTGAGTAGGCTGCATTTGGGCGCTGGGCGCCATTGGGGAGAGAACCTGGATACTGTTGTGATCTTTTGCATGTACGAGCTTTCATTGACATTTGGTCCGGTGTTGAGACTCTCTATTGGTGTATTACTGGCACATTGCTGCTGTACAGACTCAATGTGACTCCATGCTTTCAATGAGGGAATGTGATTTGGATTTTGTCATCTCGCTATCGCTCAAATCTCTTGGATTTGTTTTTTTGGTCAAGGTCTGTGTGTGCCAAGTTTGGTGTTTGCTGGGGTCTTGGAGAAAGGTGCACAGGGTTTGTTATAAAGATCATGTAGGAACCCTCTGCAAAAAAAATTGGGGCTCTGCTAACCTTCTCTCGAGGCCCTTTTTTTTTTTTTTTTTACGTTGACTGGTAAAGGATGGTACAACTGACGCAGAGCACACTGGGTGTAATTGCAGGAAAAAGCGGCCAGAGTTCAGTGCATGGCTTGCAGAAGTGAAGAAGGTGAGTGACTCTTTCACCACAAAAATCACGCATTTGGAGAATTTTGGACAGCATTCATTTATGTATTCAGTCGCTTGGCTCGATCAAGTCGGCCTTATTCTCATTTCTTTCCCCCCGGCTTTGAACGGACTTTGTGCATATAGCCTTGTAGATGCGCACCATGATCAATGTTGAGACTTCTTTTTTTTTTTAAATTAAATCTGGACCATTTCTCGATTTACGCGTGTCATCCTTGCGCAGGGGCCATGCTAATCTTCTCTGTATCTTTCCAATTTTAACGGATGTCCCGAAGGACTGAGACGACCCAGACTTAAAAACCAGCCATGCTTTTTTTTCAACTGTCCTGGTCACTAGGAGGTCTTTTCTTTTCGTTTCTTCGGTTGATCCGTTGGATTGACGATCTGATGGCCATAGTTTTGCTTTCACTGTCTTCAGAGGTTTGCGCAAGTTTTCCAGAGGCGCTGCTGGCGGTACATCCGTAAAAGCAGATCGAGCCGTTCCTAAAAAAAATTGGAGGTCCTTCGGGACATCCGTTAAAATTGGAATGATACAGAGAAGATTGCATGGCCCCTGCGAATGGATGACACGCATAAATCGAGAAGAAAAATTGGAGCCCATGGATCATCAATAAAATCATATTAAAATGAATCGACGGTGCGCGGCCTCTCCTATTTTTCAGGAGAAGCTCAATCCCCTTGTTGGATTTACTTGTGGTTTAAGGCCAACTCGTGTACGCCCACACGTCAGTTTGTGAGAAGGTAGTGTGCCTGCTTCTATCCATGTGTTCACCTATAGACTTGCAATCTGCTGACCTCTCGTTTCTCTTTTTCTTTTTTTCCTTTTTTTAAATTTTAGTAATTTTTTTGTACTCCTTTTTTTTTTTGCCCTTTGTGTTTGGGTAAAAAGTACTAAAAACCTAAAATGAAGAAGTCAAAGAGCATGTCCAGTGGCCAAGCGAACCACCCTCCCCCCTACCGTCTTCCCCTGAACCCAAAGCACCCTGATTACAAATGTCTACAAGCTGTCTTTCCAGATGCATTCCACCGCAAACTTGCCAATTGTCTGTGAAGAGGCACAGAAACTTGCACCTACAGAGAGGTTCACACTTTAAAAGTGTAGCAGTTGGCGATGTCTGCGTATCTGACGTTACCTTCTTCTTCTTTTTTTTTTTTTCCTTTTTTTTTTCTTTTTTTTTTCTTTTTTTTTTTCTTTTTTCGGCGTGGTCCCGTTGAGCAGATAAACTTAGAGACATTGACAAACTGGGAGGAGAAGAGTATGTTCAAGGAGTATATGGAAGACTATAACACGGCCACTCTTCCATCGATGAAGTAAGTCCAGGAATTTTGTATTTGCGTTTTTCTCCGTCCTTGTGTCACACCTGTCCACTCTGTTCCCCATCGTACTCGCCTTCGTCCGTCCATGCTGTCTGCCCTTCATTCCCCTCTTCCTTCCTCTTTCCCAAACCACCACCGTCCCTGCCCAACCTGAAAACATAGGAGCATAGGGGGGGGGCTGCTGCTACCCCTGGTAATTTCATGGACTAGTGGGCAAAGAAAAGGGGTGGATGTGGCCATAGATGCCCTAGCGTCTTCCCCTGAATAGAACGTACAGCCACTATGCCTGTATTTGGGGCAACTTTCAGTCTAGATAAGTGATAATGACTGTACTAGGGCACTTCCACCGGCGCCAGGCAAGTGGCTTGGCTATGGCCGCGCCAGGTGCTTGACTGTGCCCAGGCAGCTTCCCAATGCACCCCGCCAGCTCCCACGTGCACGAGCGCCCAAGCAGCGCTGTCGCACACACCGGCCGGCCAGCATGAATGAAAGTGAGCTCGCTCAACTTTCCTTTACGTGGGCGGTCTGGCCTACGGCCTACCTGCTCTGGCTGCACCCAGTCCCAGTAGCTGCGCCCAGGGCACTTCGAGAATGTGCCTTGGGCTTAACTGTAAGGGTCCTGCGCCTCCGGCATCTTCGACTACTGGGCCTATCGCCTGGTTGAAGGTTCTGCTTTGCGCAACCAACCCATGGGCCCCTCTGCGCTCACGATGGCCTGTTCGCAGGCCAAAACAAAAAAAATAGCAGGCCCGCCTTCCCTTAGGGTGGGCACGGGGCTGCCTTCAACATTGCCGAGGGCCCGATTCCTCGCATCTTCATCTCAAGTTGGTAAAGTTTCTAAACCACTATCAGTGGGATCCAAATGAAGTTTAATGAACCCAATGGAGGTCCACCTGTGCCCTTATGCTCTGAGGAAGAACCATTTCGATGTCAGCAAGAGCCTCTGTGTTGGTTGGCTCTGAGCGGATGAAACTACTTCTTCTCGTCCTCGTAAAATAAGTGAAGGTTGCCCCTGAATGATGGATCATTCATCAGCTTCGGCAGTGAAGGAAAGATAATGTACCACCCACCTCGGTAGTAATGTGGAATCACATACCGATTTAGTAATGGTGGGGAAATTTTTCGCTTCTTCTTCTTCTCCTCCTCCTCCTCCTCCTTCTTCTTCTTCTTCTTCTTCTTCTTCTTCTTCTTCTTCTTCTGCTTCGTCTTCTGCTTCTGCTTCTGCTTCTGCTTCTGCTTCTGCTTCTTCTTCTCCTTCTTCATCGTCGCTGCTTCTTCTTCTTCTTCTTCTTCTTCTTCTTCATCGTCGCTGCTTCTTCTTCTTCTTCTTCTTCTTCTTCTTTTTCTTCTTCATCGTCACTTCTTCTTCTTCTTCTTCTTCTTCTTCTTCTTCTTCTTCTTCTTCTTCTTCTTCTTCTTCTCATTGTTGCCTTCTTCAGTTAGTTACAGTGGCGACTTTGGATTATCACCTTCCGAGTTTCCTGTTTAGGGTTTCTGTCGTACAGAGAAGAGATTGTTGGACATACCCACTATTACCCAGCACATGTGGCTGAATGGTAAATGCGTCACTGTCAATAAACAGATCATGAGTTCAGGTCCTGCTGGAATCAGATGAAAAAGTTGAAATTTGAAAACAATGTTGTTAGGCGCTACCACCTTTTTCCATGAAAAGAGGAGACTGTCGGAAGTACGCTCAACAGGGGGGTAATACTGTGTGCAATTTCTGTTCCAACTTCAAAGGCAATAGTTTCACACTTGGAGTTCTTTGACTCAAAAAGGTGGTTAAGTATGTGAGCAGTCTCAGATCTGAATTATATGCAGTGTGGTCATATCCTTTTATTTGCAAAGGAAAACAATAAGGGAGGGAAGGAGCTTTTTTTTCCAAAGGTGCGCTGCTTGTAATTGGATGCTGCAGTGGGCGGGGGCATCTTCCACTGCAGGGATCCTTAACGCAGTTGAAACCACCAGTACATCGGAGCCCCCTTTGTTGAGGTGGAGGATTCCGCCTGTGTGCCAAGCTTTGCTGAGACACCAGCAGGGTATTTTCTTTTGGGGAAACTACACGGGAGTCACAGAAATGAGTTATAAGTTATAACTTATAATTGCACTATGGGCCAAGATACAGTTTCGAATAGGAGTTTGGGCAATGTATACAACCCAGCTTTCTGGCCAGGTAGGGTGCCCGAACTGCAATTCCAAACTGTGTCTTGTGACTCTTTTCCCATATTGCAATTAGTATAACTCGTTTTTGTGACTCTACTGAAGTTATTACCCCTTTTCTTTTCCTTTTGGCTGCCGTGGCGAGAGCCATTTTGGTCCGGTGGTGGTGCTGTTCGCCCGAACTTTTCGGATGACGCATTTTTTTTTTATTCTCAAGTTTGGCTGGGCAGTGGTGTACTGGCGATTTCACAGGAAGGAAAGCGGAGTACCTGCCTGCCTGCAGTGCCTGGTGGCTGCGCATATGTAGTGTTGAATCAGTGTTTTGATGGACGGAGCAGAGCAAAGTTTGAAAGCCCCTGCCACGTCTAATAATGTGAGGGGTTGTGTTGTGATTTGCCGGATTTCAAACGATTTCAGCATCCATCACTCGTGCACAACAGGCGATTAACAGCGAATCATTGTAGTATCTCATCAGCATGCTCGATGAAGCTGTCAGTTGTGGGTCTCGCTTGGCGAGTGTAGTACCCGCTCCGATAGCGTATGAACTTTGAAGGCTCGGCGAGCTGCCCTCGACGGCCGCGCGACATGGGTCCCCCCCCCCCTCACAAAGACCGTCTCCAATCTACACAACCTTTTCCCAAAAAAAAAAACAAAAAAAAAAGAAACTGTGATTTGCCGGGGTTCAAACGATTTCAACATCCATCACTCTCTCACACACACGATTGAAAGCGAATGACAATTTTTGATAGGGAACTGAACATCGAACGTGTATTGTAGTATCCCATCAGCATGCTCGATGAAAATGAGAAAAGAAGTTTATCTCCACTTGGGCGTTCGGCTGCTCTGCGGGGGCCTGCGACAGACAAACCTCAGCAAAAACAACAACAACACAGTGTAGTGCCAGACCAAACTGGCTATGGTTGTGCCCAGATTCACTCCTTTGCAAGGAACATGAGTATGGACGAAGCACAGAAATCCGGAATGCAAAATCACACTGAAGTCCAAGTATTCAAAGCCAAAGCAGATAGCACATGGAACCGAGTAACCATCCCATTGAGAATGATACAGAAGAATCGTAAGTCGATGTCCATGCCCACCAGGGCAACACCAACAGCATAACCCAAATGTAGCTCTCTCTTGTGAATGGCGCCAGGCGCCCTATCTACTCTACAGCCTATCCTACAACTACAGCAATGAACAGCAACCAGACAACTTGACTACCAGCGAGTGATGATGTCAACACCAATGCAGACCTCCACCATCACCAGGTACGTGTCATCTTCCCCACACTCTCCCTTGTTACCCACACAGCTCCCTTCACCTCCGAAGTACCACCTTCGCCCTCACCTCCCCTGCACCCTCTTGCGGCCCGGCTATGGCCGCCAGTGCTCTGCAAGCAGGCAGCGCCCTACTGCCTAGCGCTGCCCTGCTTCTTCTTAGCGCAGCGCTGCTCTGCATTAGCGCAGCACACTTGCATCTGCGCAGCGTGCCCACATATGCCAGCATTGGCCAAGATCCTCGCTGCCTCGCCCTGCTTGCCTATATGCCAGTGCAGTGTGTGGGYGSCCTCCCTTCAGCCTGTGACCRGGGCCCAGRGGCTGAAGCCAACTCGATACAGTTGGGCCGCGGGGTAAGGCAGTTGCGCCTCCTTCATCAAGGCCTGCGGCCAGATTCAGACAGTGGGCCGATTTCCCTTTGGCATTTTCGGCCTCTCTTCCCAGCATGCATTGTCGGCCTCATGTTCAGATGCCCAGGGCCTAACCAACTCAGAGGCCCTGGGCTTTCAGCATTTGCTGAAATCCGAGACTCGGTGCACTCCAACCAACTGGCGTGCTGCAACTGTATGAACCCCACTTCATGAAATGTTGCACAGAGGGCTCTTGTCGATTTGCTGGCCCGCCTTCACTTAGGGCGGGCACTAGGCTTGCTGGGCCTTAGCCCATAACATGTACATCATGGCAAGGCCCCTACTTGAGGGCTCAATCCTCACATTCCATCCCCCTTAGCTTCGAAAGTCCGCTGAGATGCTTACTTCGCAGGCGCCTTCCCTTTCAGTTTCTTCTCATAGTCTGCCACCACCTTTGGAGCTGTGTCAATCAGTTCCTCCCTGGTAAACCAACGATCTTCTTTTGGATTCGTATGATGCCTGAATCTGACGCGGTACTCTCTCTTGGGCTTGGGAGGTCTTCCTCGGCCCAGCGGCCTTAGAACAAGCATGTCCCTGTGATCCACAATGTCGTCGATGTCAACTTGACCATCCATGGTTGGGGGCAGCATCGATCTCCTGGAAAGAAATTGATCTGTCTCAGCGAAAGGTGCAAGCTTTGAGGCATGAAAAACTGGGTGAGTGCGTAGATGACCAGGGACACKAATGACGTACGTAGGACCATCCATTTCATCTCCCACTACATCCAAGACTTCCCAGGGACCAAAGTATTGAGGCATTAGGTTATGAGATATTCCGAACTCCTGTCCTAACTCACTAGCCTTGACCCAGACACGTTCCCCCACCTGAAATGTGGACTGTCTGCGATGTTGATTCTCAGAAGCAATCATGGCTTGCTGAGCTTTCTTCATATGTTCAACAGCCTCGCGCAGCAACTTCTCATATTGCACACCGTATTCAAGTGTGCCTGGAGTTGCAGCAGTTTGGTTTTCATGTAGGAGGAAGTCTAGTGCTGATCTAGGCTTCCATCCCAAGTGCAACTGGTTAGGACTAACGCCGGTACTACTATGAATAGCATTGTTGTACAAGCTGGCGATGAGAGGCAACTGCTCATCCCAATCATCTTGGTTGGGCTTGATGTAATGCCGAAGCAAGTGCTGTACCACTCTGTTCATTTGTTCGGCTTGTCCGTTGGTTTCGGGATGATTCCCTGAAGTCATTTGAAGTTGACTGCCCATCTGTTCTGCAGTCCTCTTCCACAGTTCACTTGTGAAGCGGACGTCTCGGTCACTAATGGTGGTCTTTGGTAAACCAAAGTCCCTTACCCAATTGTCCTTGAACAACTTGATGACATATTCTGTCCTGGCTGTCTCTGACATTGGTATTAGTCTAGCGTACTTGGTGAATCTGTCAATGATGACGAAAATGTGCCTCTTACCACTCTTGCTGGTCACTAGGGTGTTCATGAAATCCATGGAAACACTCAATCCTGGACCATCAGGAATGGGTAAAGGCTTTAATAACCCAAGCGGTGCTTGAGTTCGCGGCTTGTCCCGCTGACAGACCTGACAGGTCTCAACATACATCTTTGCGTCATCTAACATTCTGGGCCACCAAAATCGTTGTACTAAGTTTGCACTCGTCTTCTTGTAGCCAAAGTGCCCAGTTGCATCATGACATTCTCCTAAAAATAAACTATGCAACTGTTCACTAGATGGAACTACCAATCTCTTTACTCCGGCCTTATCAAGATAGATTAGCCCATCCACCATCACAAACTCACTTTCTATGGCCTTGTCTTTTGCCTGAAGCTTGCGGATGATGTCCATCGTGACAGGGTCTTCCTGATAGGCTCCCACCAATGATTGAGTTACTTCATTAGATACGCCAAAKTCAGAAACTAGCGCACCTAGGTAGTCTGCTCTACGGRATAGCGCGTCTGCAACCTTGTTGTACTCTCCCTTTAGGTACTCAAGCTTGAAGTCATATTGGTCTATGACCTCAATCCATCGCTTGAGTGCATCAGAAAGAGCCGGTTGAGTCTTGATCCATTTGAGGGTCTGATGATCAGTCCTCAGATAGAAGAACCTTCCCAAAAGGAAGTGTCTCCAAAGGACAAGTGCCTTGTAGAGAGCATAAAGTTCCCTTTCGTAGGTGGACTTAGCCAACTTCTTTGATGGCATCTTCTTACTCATGTACTCAATCGGTCTCAACTTTTTCCCATCCTGCTGAGCCAGCACTGCGCCAATGCCGTATTGGCTTGCGTCAGTGGTCACTATGAATGGCTTTTGCGGAACGGGAACCATGAGAACTTCATGATTCATGAGTGCATGCTTCAATCTCTTGAAAGCACCTTCGCACTCATCACTCTTGTCCCACGGGGTGTCAAGTCGAGTTAGATCAGTCAAAGGAGAGGCGACTGTAGAATAGTTCTTTACGAAGTTCCTATAGTAGCCGCACATTCCTAAGAATGATCTGACCTCAGTGACAGTCTGAGGTCGTGGCCAGTCTCGAATACGCACTCCGCGGATACTTCATGACCCAAGTATAGTATCTTAGTGCGACCGAATTCGCATCTTCCGGCCTAATCCCCTCCGCGGATACTTCATGACCCAAGTATAGTATCTTAGTGCGACCGAATTCGCACTTCTCTAAGTTGACCTTATACTTGTGTTGTCGCAGGAGTGAGAGAACTGTCTCAACATGCTTTGCGTGCTCCTCGGCAGACTTACTAAATATTAGAATGTCGTCTAGATAGACTACGACAAAACTATCTAAATGGTCATGGAAGATCCGATTCATAGCGTGCTGGAATGTACCCGGCGCATTGCAAAGACCAAAAGGCATCACAACAAACTCATACAGACCGTATCTAGTCTGAAAAGCTGTCTTGTGTTGGTCCTCAGGTCTTATTCAGGTCTTATTGCGATTTGATGATATCCGGATTTCAAGTCCATCTTCGTATAGTACTTGCATCCCTGCACCCTATCCAATAGGTCGTCTATGTGAGGAAGAGGCTCTGCGTTTTTCACTGTGATGGCATTGAGGCCTCTATAGTCAATGCACATCCTCAAAGTACCCCCCTTCTTCGGTACGAATAGTACGGGTGATCCGTAAGGGGAAGTACTAGGCCGAATCCATCCCTTCTCTGTCAGCTCCTTGAGTTGCTTCCGAAGTTCATCTAACTCGGCAGGGGCCATCCTATAGATCCTTCCCTTTGGGGTCTTACTCCCTGGAATGATTTCTACAGCGTGGACGACTTCCCTATCAACAACTCTTGTGGGCTCCTCGAACAGATCAGGGAACTTAGCAACGACGTGTTCTATCTCTGGGGGTGTTTTAACGGCCTCCCCCTTCTCAGAGACATAAACAAGGTACATACCCTCCTCTTGGTTTTGCTTGTAATAATTGTAGAACGCTGATGCACACAAGCAGCCATATGTATCTACAATACTGCTGGCCTTGAACTTAGTCATTCTGACAGTTCAGCCATCGGGCAACTTCTGTTTGAGCACCTTCTTATCCCAGTCAAACTGGGGCTTAGCAATATCGAGGTAGTACATGCCTAGCAACATGTCAAATGGCAAGTCGTTACTAACCAAGAACGAGATCTTATGGTTAAGCTCACCTCCTCCATAGGAGAAGGTACAGACTACGTCCTTGAGGTAGTCTGTGACAATCATGCGCTCCTTGTTGGCCAAAGTAGATGCTACTGGTCTACTAAGGTGCTGTACCCCGTCCTGTAGGTGCAGCCTTTCCAAACAGTCGCGACTTATGTAATTTCGCGTGGAGCTTGTGTCTATGAAGGCACCACATTTGCGGCCTCCTACATCCACTTCCACAACGAAATGTTCCCCTCTAGGACCCTTCTTTAGCGCCGCCCAAGACTCACGAGGGTCCTTGTATGACCACTCGCCTCCTAAGTCTTCTAAGGCCTCAGACACATCTAACGTACAGAGCATAGTTTGGTCTAGATGCGTCTGCGGGGTAGCTAAGGAGTCATTAGCTTCGGCCTTGTCATGAAGTGAGGAGGGTATCATTCCCACTTCATCTTGAGTAGAAGCCGCTATCACTTCCACTGGCCCTACGCGTTTCCCGAGCTAGCAGCCTGGGAAATAGTTGCCCCAACCTTTGGTGCAACCTTTTGCGTAACCTTAGCGTTCGGGCACTTCCACTGCATGTGTCCGTATTCACCGTAGTTGATACAAGCGCCACGCGATCGGCGGTCACGCCACACGTCCTGGTCAAGACCTGCCTTGACCCACTCAGCCTGTTTGGACTTTTTGGAGGCGGCCTTCCCTTGACTCCCAGGTTGGCCCTTCCCTCGGCCACCTGCCTTAGTCTTTACTATCGCGGCGAGGGTGCTACCCTCAGCTACCTCGTCGCCGTCATACTCTGAGTAGTCCATCAGGTCAGAGAGCTCATCGATCTCAGTTTGAGTCCCATCAGACTCAACCATCATCAACTTTGCCCCCTTCTTCTTCCACTCCTGAGGACTCTTCTTCTTCGAGTCATTCCCTGAGGTGGGTTGAGCATTGCCTAGCGTGGCCTCTAAGTCTAAGGCTTTCCTAGACAATGTCTCAAATGAGTGGTACTCAGTGCGTGCCTCACTGGCTAGTAAGTTCCTCAATTTCTCAGGTAGACATCTAACAAACGTGGTCAAGAGGAACTGGTCACTGTAGTTGATGCCTGGGACGAGGATCAGGCTCTCGACGGTAGTCGTAAGCTCCCTAACTGACCTGAACTTGCGTTAGTCAAGTTTGTTAATGGCATCAGTGGCCCTTTGAGCCTCCTGTGGGTTATGCCATCTAGCTTCTACCATCTCCATGAATTGGTCTAAAGTCAAAGACTTAGCCCAATCTGCCATGCGTCGCCCGTACCCGGCTTTCACAACTACCCCATCTAACCATTTGGCTGCTTTACCCTCTAGGTAAGATGCCGCAGTTACCACCTCATCCTCTGGCAAGGTCCTTTTGGCCTTCACCCAAACCGGGACCGTCCTCAACCATGTGTTGAGTTCCTCGTCCTTTCTCTCGCCTGAGAAGGCAAGAGGCGGTTTCATTGGGGTCTTGGGGTACCATTGACCTTGCTGCTGTCCAGACTGCTGAACAGGTTGTTGTGGTGATGTAGCAATCACCACTGGACCCGAAGAAGAAGATGCAACAGTCTGTGCTGCTGCTGCAGACGTACCACTTGACTGTGTGCCAGCTTGTACGGCAAAGGGGCCTGACATCGCCGTTAACGGCAACGGCGATTGTGCTGGTGGCCGGAATCCTGGCTTTGTCAATGCATCCAGGATCTGGTCTAAAGTGCTTTGCATGAAGTCCATCCTGCTGTCCACATGCGCATGCAGCGACAACATGTTGTCCCTCAACACTTTCAGGGGGTCAGACAAACTTGATTCGTCCAATCCCTCTAACGCAGCCTTGTCAGCCTCTAACGTATCAAGTCTGGCTGCTCTA